TGAAGTGACAACATCTCATCAGTGTTAGTATTTTATAACAATTACGGTGGAAAAGATATGTATTTTTATTTATTTTTTTACATTTAAATTATAACATTTATAGTAAGGGTGTAACGATTCACTCGTTTTCTCGATGCATCGATTACAAACCGTGACGATGCAATGCATCGATCTTGAAACTTTGAATTCGAATTGACCAGTGTTCGTGCCCTCGCATCTCTCCTTCATGCGCTCCACTATTTACCGCCTGTGACTGTCACAGCATTGCGCTCGCGCTCCGTTCGTCTCACTGACAGTTTTGAGCAGCTGATGTGTGATCTCTCCTTAGTAGCCTATTCATGGCCAGTAATGCTAAAGTGAAGTAGTTTTACTTTTAATACATAAATAAATACTTTAGAATACATAAATTATTATTTTTTTATTTGCTTTTCTGAAATAGATATAGCAAGACATCCTAACATTTAGTACCAGTCAAAAGTTTGGGCTCACCTGCTTTACTCATTTTTATTAATACTATTTTAGAATAATAGAAATGTAAGAACACAAAAGAAGATACTTTAAAAAAAATGTTCCTAGCATTCTTTAAAATATCTTCTGTGTTCCACAGAAGAAAAAAAAATTCATACAGGGTTGAAACAACATGAGGGTGAGTAAATGATGACAGAATTTTCATTTTTGTGTGAACTATCTAAGACCGCAAGAAACATAAACTGAGTCCAAACTTTTCACAGGCATTTCATGTCAGAGTTGAATTTTTCCCGTCTTCAAAGCTCAGTGTTCCATCCAGTTCTGTCTTTGACATCATTTCCTGTTTGCAGCTCCGCTATCTGCTGGCGTTCAGCGGTTTGATGGTGAGCATGATGGGCTTCTCAGGCAGCAAGATGAGCTCAAACGTGCTCCTGACCTCCACCTGCCTCTGCTTCTCAAACCTGAAGTTCTCCAGCATCTATAAAGATGACAAAACGACAAATAATGAAGAAAATCCGCCAACGTTATTTTGACAGTTAAGAGGATATGATGTTCCTCCCTTTAGAAATCCACATACGTGAATAAGGAAGAGCTGCATCTCGGTCTCGGCGATCCTGCGGCCCAGACACTGGCGTGGGCCGAAGCCGAAGCTCAGGTTCCTGAAGTAGTGGCTCTTGGATCGGACCCAGCGAGAGGGACGGTACTGCTCCGGGTGCGGGAAGATCCGGTGATCACGACCCATGGGTGCGAGAAGATCCGGTGATCACGACCCATAGTGTAGAGACCCAGCTGAACTAAGGTCTGATGCAGACAGACAGATGAACCCATGAAGGTACACAAACAATTGTATTTTGTCAGTGATTTCCTTAAAGGGGTCATAGGATGCCCATTTTCCACAAGTTGATA